GTTAGGGCTGAGAACAGGGGGATGATCCTCTAGGATGGGCCGCACTGCCTCAGGCACCTGAGCAAGATCATTTATCACCAAATGAACAGACTCCCCGGTCGTCGGTACACCGGGAGCAGAGAGCAGAGTGGTGGAGTCGCGGAGAACTTGGGAACCACAATCGACAACCAACGAGTTGTGAGCGAGAAAATCGTTACCGAGTAGTGGCTCTGTCACTTCAGCCACTACAAATGTCCATGTGTAACTGCGTCTGAGTGTGGGGAGGACAATATCGAGAGTGGCCTCGCCATGCACGCGCAGTGGCTGCCCGCTGGCAGTCGTGATCGAAACAGCGGACAGGTGGATTAAAGTTCCATTCACATAGGAGGGCGGAACCAGGGATACACCAGCGCCAGTATCCACGATGAATTTCAGGGGCTGATCATTCACCTTGGCTGTTACCCTAAGGAGCGGCAGGCCGAGGGCTGCGTTTACGGCCTGCTCCTCTCGTTTCCCGACTCTGAGGCTGCACGGGAGGGAGATGCAGCTCGTGAGGACGGCTGCATGGTCAGATCAGCAGCTTTGTCGGGCCAGTGACACCATGGTTTGCAAGTGCGTGCTCTGCTGCCGAAAAACACGTGAGCCCGGCATACTTTCGGCTTCTGGTCAGGGTGGAACGGCGTGAGACCGAGAGACGTCCTTGAATCACGAGCACCACGAGCAGGGGAGTGTGTGGCGGCTCGGCTCTGCGACTGAGTGGCCCTGTGGTACCTTGGGTGCTGCTGAGCCACAAGGAACGCCTGTGAGTCAGACTGTGGGTCCTGATCCTGACAGTGAACCATGTTAGCAGCTGAGTTTTGCACAAGAGGCATTAGTTCGTCCGCGAGTTTGCCCAACTGCGACAGTGAGAGCTCGCGCTGAGAAGCCAGGGCCGTAGCAATGCCTGTGGGTAGCGACTGGATAAATTTGTGCCGAACGAGATCGTCTCCGACACCAACCTTGTCGGCCACCTCTCTGAGTTCGCTTAGAAAGAGTGAGGGTCGGCCCGTCAGACGCGTTTTGCTGATCAGTTTCTCAAACATCTCTGGCTTTGTCTTTTCGTACATGTCAGTGACGGCTGTCTGTAGCTCAGAGAAATTTTTGTTGCTCAAGACAGCACGCGGAATGTGCGAGATGGTTTCCGGAGGCAGGGCAGAGAGAACGTGGTAGAATTTGGTCTGCGAGTTGGTAATTTTGGCAATGTTAAATTGGGCGTCCATAATAGCAAACCAGCCGTCAACCGCGGTGTCCATAAAAACCGGCGGCTTGATCGACACATGATGGACCGGCTCAGCATGAGCGGGTTCCATCGTGCCCTCGTTCGTCATGATCGTTAAAGTATAGCCGGTGTTTGCAATGCACTGAACAATTAAAATTTAAAACACCGAGTGCAAAATCCGAAAGAGCCAATGGAACGCCGAAATAAAATCACCGAGAAGATAAATGCCTAACTAATCACACGGCGGAGAGATGGCACAGAAACCATCATGGAAAAGTGGCGCAGAAGCCACTGTGGAGCGACGGAATAGCAATCCATGTGGGGGAATAATATAATATAATTGATTCGGGAATGAGCGGAGGCGACAACCCGGAAGTATGGAAAAAAATCGAACAAGAATCACGTCGGGGTCACCAATATGTGGTGCTGTGGGGCTGTTCACCACATATCAGTGACTGGATTTTACGTTAATCAGAAATGGAAAATATCAACCTGGTGCGTGTTCCAAAAATTCAATCAGTTCGATCCATACGGCCCCAAGTAAAAGAATTAATCAAAAGAGCGGGTTGTTATATTTTAAGTTCCAAAACCAAGTCAAAAACCGAAACAACGAATCATGCAGTGGAGTGACGAAGAGACGAGAGCGAAATCCAAGTTTGCCAAATATGCCCTGCTAATCTTAAGTTCTAAATCCCGGACAGAACGGCCCTAATGGAGCCAGACGTGACGCGTCTGCTCGGGTCAAGAGCTAGGCCTAGAATGCCGGGGGAGCGCGCGGCCCGACGCAGCGGGCCGGACCCCAGACATGCGCAGAAACACTCGGAGACAACGTGGCGGCGGATCGAGCGCGGATTGGTCAGCAGAATCACTGCATTGCAGGCTGCAGACACGCGGTCGCCTCCAGGCCCATGTCACTCCACTTTTGATGACATCATAAGGGGGTCTCAGGACAATTAATGGCGCGGTGCGCCACAATCGCTGCCAAGCTACTTGCCAACAGCTAGTGTTTTTGAAAATATTATTTTTAAATAAAGTTTCAAATAATGAAAATATTGTAATAAAATTGTAACATAAATCTGTAACATATTTAAAAACTTACTGAAAAATGATTTATTCAAAGTAAAAATATAAGCTCGATGCATTTTTACGTTGCTTTCCTGCTGCTGCAGAGGGTTCTTAAATCGTCTATATCTTCAAAACCGGCCATTTCTTAGCATATTGCTGCTCTTTTTTGTCGCTAGAAAATTAGTTGGGCTTTCCATTGACATCAACGGTTGAGCGGTATGTGTAGAGTGCCATCAATAATCTTCAAATGAAATTAGTCATTTTTACGTTGCAAAGGAATGGAGTACCCCTTGCGAGCATCAGGGATGACGTCACTCAGGATCTGTCTCTGATTGGTCGGCGGGGGAGTGACTGTACCTTCTATAGATGGCCTTGGTCGCCTCGTGAAAGGGTACAAGGTTCACTGGCGCGCCCTGGGCCGCCCCCAGCACCGGGGGGGGGGGGGGGGGTAGCGACGTCACAACTCACAACAAGTCGGCGCGCGAATCGGTCTGCGCCGGCCCGGGGACTCCCGTGCCGGCCGGCGACACACGTGGTTATTGCATCATCGTGACGAGGCAACGAATAACGCAGGCGCACCACAGCCCCACTATGTCCCGCAGTCAGTATGTGGCGGAACACCTTCAATTAAGGGCGGGGGGGCACTGCCGACTTTTGGTCCCATTCTTTCCATGCAACGCCCATAGGGCTAATGTTAAAATGCGAAAATCAAAGGGAGGCACGGTGCCCCGTTGCCCTCCCCGTTCCGCCGCCTATGTAGTCGGACAGTTGAGTCCCACTTTGTCCCGCTGGGACAGGCTGAGTCCCACTATGCAGTAGCGGCGGAACACCTTCAATTAAGGGGGGCACTGCCGACTTTTGGTCCCATTCTTTCCATGCAACGCCCATAGGGCTTATGTTAAAATGCCAAAATCAAAGGGGGTACGGTGCCCCGGTGCCCTCCCCGTTCCGCCGCCTATGTAGTCGGCTGAGTTCCACTTTGTCCCGCTGGGACAGGCTGAGTCCCACTATGCAGTAGCGGCGAAACACCTTCAATTAAGGGGGGCACTGCCGACTTTTGGTCCCATTCTTTCCATGCAACACCCATAAGGCTTATGTTAAAATGCCAAAATCAAAGGGGGCACTGTGCCCCGGTGCCCTCCCCGTTCCGCCGCCTATGCCACTATGTCCCACAGTAGTCGGCTGAGTCCCACTTTGTTCCGCAGTAGTCGGCTGAGTCCCACTTTGTCCCGCTGGGACCGGTCAAGTCCCATTGTGTCTCGCCGTAGTCGGCTGAATCGCAACTTGTCCCGCCGTAGTCGGCTGAGTCTGGCTGAGTCCCACTATGTCCTGCAGTAGTCGGCTGAGCCCCACTATGTCCCGCAGTCAGTATGCGGCGGAACACCTTCAATTAAGGGGGGGGCACTGCCGACTTTTGGTCCCATTCTTTCCATGCAACGCCCATAGGGCTAATGTTAAAATGCGAAAATCAAGGGGAGGCACGGTGCCCCGTTGCCCTCCCCGTTCCGCCGCCTATGTAGTCGGCTGAGTCCCACTTTGTCCCGCTGGGACAGGCTGAGTCCCACTATGCAGTAGCGGCGGAACACCTTCAATTAAGGGGGGCACTGCCGACTTTTGGTCCCATTCTTTCCATGCAACGCCCATAGGGCTTATGTTAAAATGCCAAAATCAAAGGGGGTACGGTGCCCCGGTGCCCTCCCCGTTCCGCCGCCTATGTAGTCGGCTGAGTCCCACTTTGTCCCGCTGGGTGAGGCTGAGTCCCACTATGCAGTAGCGGCGGAACACCTTCAATTAAAGGGGGCACTGCCGACTTTTGGTCCCATTCTTTCCATGCAACACCCATAAGGCTTATGTTAAAATGCCAAAATCAAAGGGGGCACTGTGCCCCGGTGCCCTCCCCGTTCCGCCGCCTATGCCACTATGTCCCACAGTAGTCGGCTGAGTCCCACTTTGTCCCGCTGTAGTCAGCTGAGTCCCACTTTGTCCCGCTGGGACAGGCTGAGTCCCATTGTGTCCCGCTGGGACCGACCGAGCCCCACGATGTCCCGACTCCCGCTGTTGTCGGCTGAGTCCCACTATGTTCCGTTGATGTCAGGCTGAGTCCCAGTTTGTTCCGCTGTAGTCTGCTGAGTCCCACTACGTCCCGCTGTCGTTGGTTGTCATGCCCGGTAATCCCTCCCTCATCGATAGAAAACACGCATCGATAGTACGTCCGTGACGTAATATATTGCGACGACACTAGCGCCAGTCTCAAGGCACAGCCCGTCACACTACCTCCAGCATATACACAGAAGTGTGACGCCTGCTATTACGGCTACCACTGCGGTTCCCTGTATGTACGGCCCTCCAGCAAAAGAGTGGTTGGTTAGCTTATGTGCTTTTGGTGTAATAACTTTGAATGACAGAGACACACTCCTGTAAAATGACTCAATAGAAATGAGAAGAGGGTTCGTGCACACACTTCGGCAATGGGTTTCAACAGCCATTAGACGTATTCACCCATGCAGATCGCTTATTGTGATGTTGGCAACCAACGACTAAATACCTGGAGGGCCGTACCAGGCCGTGCCGAATGCAAAAATTACAGTGTTCCAATTTGACAAACACCATTTCTACGGTGACATTTACAACGCAGCGATATTGAAAAAAAAAAAATCGTGAGCAGAGGCGTCTTTATTTCTATAGCAGCAGCACTTACTTCGTATTTCCGGAACTAGGTGTCAGTCGCTTAGGGGTGTTTGAAAATGTTCGCTTGCAACAGGAGAGGCGAATTTGACTTAAAATTAACATCCTGCATTGAGTAAACGGAACTACACCCGCGCAAGCCGCCATGCCTTTTGTTTATCTACCTGATTTTTTGGTCTGCATGTTGTGCGTAATTAGACCAAACCACAAGATATGAGAATCGGCGAGATTGCTCTTGGATTATTTTAAAGTTACGTTCCACTCTGTCCGTGTGAGGTTTTTTGATCGCCAATCAACGATGCCAATTTCAGGTTCCTGCAAAAGGTGGTGAAAATTTATTGCTGCTACACATGTGTGGCACATTTTCCCGAATCCCCCATTTTCGATGACGTCATCAGTCCAAACACGCATTGGTTAGTGGGGGTTTTCTTACATGTTGAGCGGTGTCATTTCGCGATTCTCGGACTCGACATAAACAAAACCGTAGAGAAATTGTTTTGGAAGGGTAGGTGAGAAAGCGTGATATCACATTAAAGGAAATAGTTCACTTTTAACATGGGGTTTTGAATATGAATAGCAGTTTTGTAGCTTGAGCTGAGACAAGCACAAATCAGGAGCTTTTACGGCCCAACGCAAACGTCAACGTTCACCCTCAGTCGGGGGAGGTTTCAGTTGGGGAAACTACGAGGAGGCAGGAGCCAAGCACAAATTGGATCAGCCAATCAACAGCTGGAGTGGGCGGGGCAATGACCATATATGGTCAAAAAATCAGACTTCATATTTTCCATGCATCCTAGCATTCAAATGAAAAAATAAGGCATAGCAATGTTTTTTGACCACACACACAAGGCCTACACTCACTCGGTGCACAATGCACTGGCGGCTTTAAATCGCAGAGTTACAATACAAGGTCAAACAGTGATTGGCAAATATGGCAGATTGAAACAGACGCGCCAAAAAATGTAAGAAGCACCATGGTTTGAAAATGTCATAATTTTTATTATTTCAGTTGGGGAAACTAGTAACTAGATACCTACGAGGCGAATATCAAAAAAATGATTGGTCAATGAATGGACTTTTGATGATCATATATGGGACGCCGGTGAAAACAGGGCGTCGGAGGGCATATTAGTCATGTGACATTTGGAACTTCTCCCCCTCCGTCGGCCTTCTACATGCTAAACGTCTCGTGTGAATTTCACGAACCTTGATCAAATCGCCCCAGGCGCCCTGCTTTCACTGTCGTCCAATATATGGTCATAAATGCAGCCCCCGCTACTAAGGGTGAAAAATGGTATAACAAGCCGGTACCTACTTGCGGTATGGCGTCCACTTATCGGAGAGAAAAGGCTTCCATTTTTCACTAGGAATTAGTGTGATTTGATTAAATTTGGCGAATTGACTAAAAAATGGTGATAGGAAAACGGCTTTTCTGCAGGTTCTGGGGGTCACAATCAGCTGGCCATTCAATAAATGGATTGGTGTTTTGAAAGAAAATTGAAGATTTAATTTAATTACAATAAGCAAAGGTATTTAATTTTAAAAAGATAACTTAACCACAATTAGAAAAACCATAAAAAATAATAAAAATAATGACATTTTTAAACCACGGTACTGCTTACATTTTTTGGCATGTCTGTTTCAATCAGCCATATTTGCCAATCACTGTTTGACCTTGCATTGTAATTCTGCGATTTAGAGCCGCCAGTTAATTTTGCACCAAGTGAGTGAAGGCCTTGTGTGGTTAAAAAACATTCTTATGCCTTATTTTTTCATTTGAATGCTAGGATTCATTGAAAAGATGAAGCTGTCTGATTTTATGACCATATACAGGGGTGTGCGCTAGAATCCGGAAAAAAATGTAAGGGAAAGAACTTCAGGGTTTATTTGGTATCGCAAGGTTTCCCTTCAAAATTTTTACTTTTATAGCGAAGACTGATCCCTCCTCTGTACTGTCACTCGACTTAGCACCCTCCAGCTCCAATCACAGCCTCCACAGGGCGCCGGAACCTGCCGCAGGCGTTGGTGACCTGCTCCCGGGTTAAGTTGACCGCGGCCTGGATGATGGCGGTCCCCAGGGAGTCGAAAGTGTTGTGAGGTCGTTTGTTGGACTCTCTCTCAAGGACGCCCCAGAGAAAGTGGTCGCACGGACACGGAAAATCTTCTGGTCGGGAAAGAAGCTGCTCTGGCCGGTGGCTCTGTGCTCCAAAGAAGTGATGATCAGCTAACATCTCCGAATCTCCTGGTCTTTATGACTTCTGAGAGCATCTGTCTCACCTGAAGAACGTAGCTCCTGTATCGGAGATTGTCGTGAATGGCACGAAGAACTGTTACCCTGCGCAGATTGAGCCTCGAAGTCACCTTCTGCATGGGAAGGCTCGGACCTTCTCCAATCATGGCCTCGAGCTGCTCCAAGAAGTCCTTATTCCGCTTCCAAACCTCGAATCGGTCCTGTTCCTTCCTCTTAGGAGTCAGAGACTCACTCATCGTCTCTTCAGACTCTTTGAAGGACTTTGCAAGGTCGTACACGGCCGATTTCGGGAACTGAAAGAAGTCCACAATTTCCTTGGGCGCGCGGCCGCAACGGAGGGCCACAATAACCGAGGTGCGGCGCTCGAGCTAAGAGGATATTTCTACTTATTTTGTTTCCGATCGAAGGCGACTGAAGTCACAAACCTATGAGGAAAAGAAGAATGATATATTCAAAAAAGTTTATACGATACGCCAATTTAAAGTTTTTCCGGATTCTAGCGCACACCCCTGTATGGTCATCGCCCCGCCCACTCCAGCCGTTGATTGGCTAATCTAATTTTTGGGCCCTCTCAGCCCGGAAATGGTCCCTATCATGTCGAAAAAGGGCCCCCTCAAACCATAACTTGGCCCTCTCAGGTCTGAAATGGTGCCTCTTATGCCTGAATGAGGCCTCAAACAAGCCCTCTCTGGCCTCATACGGGTCCTTTAGGGCATGAAATGGGCCCTCTCAAGCTTGAAATGGCCCCTTCAGGCCTGAAATGACCCTTCTCAGGCCTGCGATGGACCCTCTCAGACCTCAAACGTGCCCTTTAGGGCCTGAAATGGACCCCTTCAGGCCTGAAGTGGGCCCACACAGGCATCAAATGGGCCCTCTCAGGCCTGAAATGTCCCCTCTCATGCCTCAAACAGGCCCTCTAGGACCCGAAATGGGCCCTCTCAAGCTTCAACTGGGCCCCTTCAGGCCTGAAATGGGCCCTCACAGACCTGAAATGGGCCCTCTCAGGCCTGAACTGGCTCTCTAATGCCTGAACTGGCCCTCTCATGCCATGGAACGGGCCCTCCTATGTAGGCCTTGGATTAGCTCAATCGGGCCTTGGATGTAGGTAGGTAGTAGGTACCCTCTTAAATCATATAATGAAACTATGAATTCTAACCCGCGCCCCACTGGGGTCTGCGTATAACACGCCCTACTGGGGGGGGGGGAGGGGGGCTCTCCATAGCCCCCCCCCCCTAACTCCGAAACTACTGGGCCGATCGTCAAAATTCAAACGGCGTCTGATAGCCCCGGAAAAACTGTCGAAGGAATCCTAATTTCATTGACCTCGAGGTCACCGATGACGTCACAGGTCAGGTCAAAGTAAAAATTATTAGCATTTTGGCTTGTTCACATTTTGGGCTCTGGCCGCCGTCTTACAAGTCAGATCAGGCTCATTTTTGGTTTCCACACTCGTGAACAGATGCTCTAGATACCTTGGGGGTACCAAACTTGTACTTTGATTTTCAGGTCAGAGTCAGGTCATCACAGGTCACGGAAATATTATATCATGCGTCGGTCACGTGACACATGTTTTATGGTCCATTTAGGCCATTTATTTCGAATTTGATGTCGTCTGTGTCATTCGAAGTCATTTTGAGTCGAATTTAGCTTAGGTCAGGTCACTTTCAGGTAAAAAAATGTCAAATTTTGAAGTTATAATTTTTCAACAAAAAAGGTGTCTATTGGATGCAGTTTGAGCTCAGGAACACGATGGTGCTATTTATATTGGTATACGATGTCAAATACGTACTGAAAAATTGATTTGAAAAGTTGATAATTGTGATTTTTTTTTGCAATAATGCGTATAACTTGGCCATTTTTAAAGATATTTGGCTAAAAATTGCTAGAGTTAGTCATAAGCATGCGTTCTGTCACATATATTCCGTTTTTTTTTCTCGAAAAGTCAAAAACTTTTTGAAAAAAATATAAAAATATAAATTTTGAATATTCTTGTATAAAATTTTCGAACTTTTCAAATTTTGAAAATCCGAGATAGCAGTTTGATAGCGCAGTCAATTCTGAGTCCTTTCATGCAAAGAAATTGGATTTAGCTTAAAAACTGAACTCTTGGGAGCGATTGGCGACGACGTCATCACTCTGACGTCATTTCCGGCCGAACTATGGTAGCTACGAAGTTCCAATTTTGACACAAGGTGTCAAATTGATGCAGCCGAAGGTACTGTAAGTTTGGCGTCGATACGTCAAGTGGTTTGGAAGTTATTGCAGAAAAACGGGAGGGGGCTATGAATAGCCCCCCCCCCCCAGTGGGGCGCGGGCTAAAGGGGGGCTATCAGGCCTGAATACTGTTTTCAATCATCTGACGAACCTTGACATTATGATAAAAAATTGTCAGGCTGCATAACGTTACAGTTCGAATTGACGGTGGGCCCCTAGGATAAGAGACGGGGGTGAGATCTCACCCCTTTACCCCCCCCCCTGGCTGCGCCACTGCTAGCCTGCCAATTATTGCTCATACTCGTATTACGGAATATGGACGAGTTCCTAGGTCCTACTTCTTTTTAACTACGGAGTGCTACTGTATACAGCTGTGTCCGCTGTACACTGCATAGGGTAGGGTGGGGTAATTTGAACTTGTGGGGCAATTTGAACATAGTGTGAAAAACACAAAATTACGGAAAATCCATAAGTGGCATGACAATATGACCAGTGAGGGAAATTATCGTAACTAAAAGGGCTGTCATGAACGGGGTTTAAAGTTTCATGGAATGAAGATGCTGACGCACACTGTAAAAATCATTTTCGCAAGTAAAAACGCCTAAAAACACGTCATTGCAACTTCATTGCAGCGCAAAATCTTGCATTGTTAGCGCCTAATACGCAACGGCTTTTGTTGAACAATGACCTAATCAGTGCCTT